AGAAAAGCTTCTAACATTTCAGTTTTGATCAAAGGACTGTCTAATCGTGTGCCACTTACTGCCGAAAACTTTGACTGGAGGATAAGGAGAAAGTAGGAGTGGGGTGTCCCTGGAAGCCGGAATTCCACACAATGCCCTCCCCATCCCATGGGAACAGGCAAGAGTAAAGGCAAGACAGGGGCCACCAGCACCTGCACTGCAAACGGCAAGGTTGTTACAGAGCTGCCACAATCATGGGCTACTTCAAGGAACAAAGGGCTGAGAAAATCCCCCTAATGCAATGCCATCAAGTTGATTCTGACATATAGCGAAGCTACAGGGCAGAGTAAAATTGCCCCTGTGGGCTTTCCAAAACTGAATCTGTACGGGTGTCCTTGTGGGGCAAGGATTACGTGCAGGACTGCTGAGCCATAAGGTCGCAGTTTGAAACCACCAGCCGCTCCTCGGGGGGAAAAGACAGGGCTTTCTACGCCCACAGAGAGTGAGTCTCTGAAACTCACAGAGCCAGCTCTACCTTATCCTATAAGGCTCAACATGAGCCGGCATCAAGTCTGGTTTGGTTTTGGTACATCTTTATGGAAGCACAAAGCCTCATCTTTCTTCCAGAGGTGTCCTTTGAGAGCCATGGGTTTTTCTATGGTCATTTGCACTTTAGCTCTTGCCTGTGGTGCTCCTAGAATTGTGGTGCCTCTCTCCTGGTTCCTCATGGGTCATTTTCTATACAGGTTTGTGCCACCAGTTCGGGGCACTGTTCAACTGCATGTATGCCCATGATCGTGTGAGGTGTTTTTGTTGTTGTTTTTTTAAGCAGCAGCAGCTCTCCTTTAATTATGTCCCTTTAATCGTTTTAACGGGAGAAAGACTGGGCTTTCTACTCCCATAAAACCATTAGTCTCAGAAACCCACAGAGGGTCGCCAGGAGTCAGCACGGACTCGATGGCAGTGAATTCGAGGTCTGAATGGCTTTAAAGACCACGGGCCTCAGAGTAAATGAGCTGCAGAGCTTCAGAGCCCATCCTAAACTCCAGCCCCACCCAACCCCACATCTATGCTCCCCCTCCTCATTCAGTCACAGCCCGGCTCTGCAGCCTTTCCCTCCTGGGCTGCCTGCCAGGGCTCCTGCGCAGGCCAGGGCCAGGGCAGGTCCCCTAAGATCCAGGCTCAGGCTTGGGCGGAGGCAGCCAAGGCTACACAAAGTCCGAGAACAGCCTTGCCAAGAGAATGATGATGACAGACAGGCCACCACTGCCAGTGGCAACCCTGTACCTACTCCCTGAGGTCACCTCTCTGTGACCCCCACCCATATGCACCCAACCTGCTCCCATGCACAAAATCCCAATCTGGCACCCAGTTCAGCGACATAGCTCTCAGACTTATTTTTG